AAACACTTCTTTTAGTTCATATGATGTCCTTGATAAGCAGCATTTAAGATCCTCCAGCTGCTTCCAATTTACAACCTAAACTTCAAGGCCAATTTGCAATTCCCATTCTCATCTACACAAATAGAACTTGTATACCTTCAAGGGCATCCTGTGGAAGTACCTTAATTCTCCCAAGTATTTCCCTTCTTTAATGCTCCCAGAAACAAGTGAGAACACAATACAAGCAAGTGATCTGAGTGAATTATTTATACTGGAAAACATACAAGTGTTACAGATCAATGGATGTTATATGATAGCAAAGATGCCTAAACAACAGTCTATAAATAACTGCAGTTTTAAGAACTCAGGCAAGTGGATAAAAATATAAAATGTATCAATTCTATCAATATATTAGTTCTGCTGAGTCTTTCTATACAGCTCAGTTAATTCCTAAAAATCAATAGTGTTCAAAGGTGGAAGATTCCAAGAGGGAAAGTACTCTCAAACAACACGTGCTGCCAGATATTCATTCAGTGTTACAAGAAAAGGACAGTTTCAAATTTGAAAGGATTGAAGGGATTATGGGTAAAGCTATAGGAAAGTCAGTTCATCCTGCAATGCCTTAGGGCACATCAAATAAGGAGAGTAGAATAACGGAGATTTGACCTGTTCTGACCAGATGTTGCTGATTATTACCTGTATTATGGCTATGCTATTTTCCTATCTGATCTTCTGACAGCATACATTTGCCGTAAACTTATAAGTTATATAATATATAGGCTCTGAAATTTGCCAATGTGCTCCTTACTGATTTGGACAAATTAACCTTCTCTCACCTATAAAATGAACCATAAAACTATGTCTTGGGGTTTTGGAATAGGTGCACTGGTTTAAAGAAGTAAAAGTGCTTAGCATGATGCCTAGCATACAGAACAAACACCTAGAAAATGCTATTTTTCTATTCTTACTTTCCAATCATCTGTTTACAAAATTGCCATCTAATGTCAAAATAGTTGGGTATATTTTTCTTTCTTTCCACACTAGTACTTTCGTAAATTGACTCAGAAGCAGGAAGCTGGCATGACCTGTGACTGTTCTCTTGTGGTGTTAGGGTTTCGTTGGTGCCTCTCTCTGGTAACATCTCATAAACAGTTACAGTTTACAGACTACACACACTCTTCTCTTTGTTTTCTCTTACCAGTATCTAGTGCATGCACACAACAAATGCACGATAAATGTTGTTGCCTTTGCTCTCTGACGGCTGGAGAGATACAGCACCTCCAGGTTGTAATATTTACTGTCTGCATCATACAACTGAGTAACTAGTTAACCAACCATCCAAGGAAGAAAATAACAGTCTGATCAGAACTTATGGTAATAGCTCCTGTGGGTCGATTTTGGAACTCACCTTCTCACCGTGTGTTTAGCTATTTCTCTAGGAAAGATACACCGTGGCTACACGTCATAATTCCATTCAGTGTATGGGCTGCTGTACAAATGGATGCAATCAGCAAGGAAGAACTGCTTACTTTGTCAAGCTTGGTAAATATCATTCTAGGAGGTGAGTCATCTTTGCCGAAAGATATACAATGAACCAATCGTAGAAAGTTTACAGGGTAAATAAAAATATCATTAGTTGGACAATAAAGAAATTAACCTGGGTAGGGCACAAAAGAAACAGCACTAAATCACGGCATTACTTAATTTAAAATTTGTTAACTGCCATTAAAAAAACAGATGACATACGACTTTTCCTTATGGAAAAAAATTCTGGCTGATTTTGATATTTTTTTTTTCCTATAGGTTTCTGCCATAGAGTTTTTGTGCTCACCAGAGAGAGACAGTGAGAGGGAAAGTGAGAAATCACCCCCTGAGAGAAATGGCCATGCCATAATCACTTCTCCATTCTATTCTTCTACTGGGACTTCAGACATTCACACACACATGCCCAGTGTGATTCTCAAGCTACCATATCCAGGACTCAAACTGCAGTTGACCATATAGGAGTCTGGCACCTTAACCCCCATGACATCTATTGGGCCCCCCACAGATTGCGGATTTATTAAGGAATTGTGACTTTTCCCAAATTATCAAACAAGTGAAATCATAAAATGGTTATTTAAAACATCTACATTTTTCAGTTGCTGTTATTGGCTCATGTGATTGTTATTGTCTTATATTGCCCGAAGACACAGTATTCACCAGAGAGAGAGACAGAGAAAGCACCCCTCCATGAGACCTGGTCACACCACAAAATCTATTCTCCTATATTTCTCTATCATGTCAAAATATTGGGTATGTACACACACAAACACACACAAATATATATATATATTTTTTTTTTTTTTTGAGAAAGGTTTTTGCTATAGGGAGCATGTGGTTATCAGAGAGACAGAGAGACAAAGTGAGAAATCACCCCCCCCCTGCAGGGGGGAATGACCATGATGCAGTCTCTCTTTTCCATTCTCCTCTCAGGATTGTGGGCATGTGCAAACATGTGCCCAGTGTGAGTTTCAAGCCATTGGGTCTGGGACTTTAACCATGGTTGACCACATGGGACTCCAGTGCCCCATCCACTACACCGCCTGCTCCCACATGTATTTTTTTCTTTTTTTGGAGATGTTTTTGTTATAGGGCATGTGCACTTGCCAGAAAGACAGAGAGAGACAGAGAGACAGAGACAGAAAGCAAGAAAACACTCTCCCAGGGAGAGATTTAGACTAAAGACTTAAATGTAAGATCTAAACTAGAAATTATGAAATGAAAACACAGAGAAAATGTTTCAGGACATTGGTCTGGGAAATGAGTTTTTGGATGAGACCTCAAAAGAATGGGCAACAACACCAAAAAATATAAATGGAATTATATCAAACCAAATTCTTATGTGCAGCGAAGGAAACAATAAACAGAATGAAGGACCAAGCTATAGAATGGAAGAATGGATTTTCAAAGCAGTCTTCTGACAAGGGATTAATGACTGCAATATATCAATATAAGAAATCCAAAACCTCACAAAAAAAATACAACAACAACAACACAAATAACCCAATTAAAAATGGGCAAATGTTCTGAAAAAAACATTTTTCAAAGGAAGATACACAATGGCTAAAAAGCATATAAAAATTACCAACATCACTAATCATCAGTGAAATGCAAATCAAAATCACAAAGAGATATTATCTTATCCCAGCTAAAGTAAAGTAGCTATCATCAAAATCACACACACACACACACACACACACACACACACACACACAAATTCCCACTCTTTGTTGGGGTATAGAATAGTTCAGTCATTATGGAAGATAGTATGGAATTTTCTAGAAAAACTAAAAATAGAACAGCCAATCTCACCAGGCATATATCCGACGCAGGGAGGGGAAATCAGGATGTCATAGAGATATCTGTACTTCAGTGTTCATTGCAACAGTATTTGCAATTACCAAGATATGGAGATATGGAATCAACCTAAGTGTCTATAAACAGATGAGTGGATAAATAAAATGTGTGTACAAACACAAACTAAAACACGTATTTATACAATAGAATACTTTTCAAATACTACTCAGCCATTAGAAGAATAAAATTCTGTCATGTGAGCAAACACAGACTAGCATGGAGGACATTATATTAAGTCAAATAAAGCAAATGAAAAGAAACTTTTTGGTCACTCATATGGAAATTTCAAAAGTTGATCTCATAAAGTAGAAAGTAGACAGGACCAGCAGATGGTGTAATGTCTATGTTGCTGGATTCTGATGTCATTGACGGTGGTTCGAGTCCCGGACCTAGTGGCTTAAACTCATGCTGGGTGCATGTGCGTGTATGTCCAGGATCCCAAGAGAATAGAGGCGAAGGGATTGTGGCATGGCCACACCCCCTGGGAGGTGATTTCTTGCTGTCTCTCTCTGTCTTTCTGGTCAGTACACACACCCTATAGAAAAAAGCCTCAAAAAAATAAATAAAAAAAGAAGGAGAAAGTAGAATAGTAGTTATTAAAGACTAGGAAGGAGTGGGGGAGGGATAGAAAAATTTTGGTTAACAGATGGAAAATTACACAAAAGGAATAAGTTCTAGTGTTCTGTAACACAGTAGAGTAACAAACAAAAATTTAATGTATATTTCAGAATGCTGAAAAAGAACATTTTGAAAGTTCCCAACACAAAGTAATAAGTTATGATGATGATGAATATGCTAATTACTATGATTTGATCACTACATATTGTATTCATGTACTGAAAAATCACACTATACCCTGTAAATATGTACAATTATTATGTATCAATCTAAAAAATCATGAAATTAGATTCTCATTCAGGGTACTCTATTTCCAACAAAAAGAAAATACAACACAGTTGAGAGAAAATACATTATGCTGAGAGATAGACAGTACACAGGCAGGCAGTACAGTGCAGTGGTAAAGAGCCCTGGCTTTGTAGGCGTAGATCTATAGATCTCAATACCTGGCTATCTACTACTCTAGCAGTGTAATCTTGGGCAAGCACCTCCACCTCACTAAGCCTCCATCCCATCATCTGCAGAATGGAGACAATGGTTTCTACTTTATGGGTTGTCGGTTCTGTGAGGTTGTAAGTACTGAATGTCAGTTGTAATTATAAAGGAGCTAATAGAAATAAATGCAAAAGCAATTGAAAAAGAAATACATTTATATTTTATGGACCAAAAAAAAAACCCTCTCTGGATCACTATTGTATTTACATAGGCTGTTTCACCCAAGTATTACCAACTTCACATTCATAATGTACTCCTAATATTAAAATGCCATTTAATATGTAGAAATTAGAAACAAGGTTGTTGCAGTAACATTTCTCTAGAATGAACCTTCTCTCTGGTATTTCTGAAAGAAAAAAAAAAAAAACTATGTGTCTGATTAAAAACTCTTATCACCTCACTCAACAGACACCAGTTTGATTTCTCCTTTTAACTGCAGTGAGGTCACATTCCTGTGTTTCTGACATAGCAGCAGGTTGCCATGGAGATGGTAGCTTTATCAGCAACTCTGCTTTGCAATGACTTCACAGCAAGGTTACCACGAAGCAGATGGGCTGTGAAGGAGACAAGCCCCCTTGTCTAAACACAAATAGAATTGATAATTAATTAGCTGAAGCAGCAGGGGAAATTATGAAAATGTGTGAAAGGTAAAAGGATTTCTATTTATTACAGATTTCATAGTTCTATTCCTTGTGCCAGAGGAAAATCACTTCCTTTTCTGTCTTGGGAAAGTTGTGTGGTGTACTGAATAAATATGGCACTAAATATGGATTGAATGTGCTGGGGTTCATGGTCTGTATCTTTTGATTCCTTAGTTAAGGTAGCAAACTAAATTATCTTTTGTGATTTTCTTTTCTTTTTTCTTTTTTAAGGCAATGGAAAAAGAGAGAGATCTTAAAACAACAAAACCCCTTCGGATTGTTGAGATGATTAAAGGACTGCAGGGTTAACATGTTAACATATTTAGGCTTGTAAGGGCCTGGTGTAAACATACCATCCTTTACTTTAAAATACCTCCTTTGATGATAAAGACCCTTGGATTAGGTTTCCAGGGCTGCCATTACAAAACCCTATGGACTGGGTGGCTTAAACAACATAAATTTAATTTTCCCAATGTTCTGGAGGCTAGAAATCCAAGATCAAAGTCCAGTTTCTTTTAGGGACTCTTTTGCTGGCTTGATGATGGTCATCTGATCTTCTGTGTCCTCATGTGGTCTTTCCTCTATGCAAGCACACCTGTGATGTATCTCTGTGTATCCGAATGACATCAGTCAGAATGAACTAGAGTCTAACCTAATGACCCCATTTTAATGAACTCCTAACAGATCCTATCTTTAAATACAGTATCATTCTTAAGTACTGGGGTTAGAAAGTCCACATCTGAATTTGGGTAAAGAGAAGACACAGTTCAGCCCCAAATAGCTCTCCTTTATAATCTGGATAAAATAAAAGTTACCTAGCCTCGTATACAAAGTCTTTCCTAATCATAGCTGTACCTCTTTTACAGCATTTGCCTCTGGAAATATCACCACAAGCAGCACACGGTGGAAACACATCAGATTATTAGAAGCTCTGCAAACACCTCATATTTAGAGGTTCTACCTCACATTTCTCTTCACCTTTTTTTTTTTTAAGTTTTATTTATTTTATTTATTTATTTATTTATTTTTGTCATAGGGCACATGCGCTTGCCAGACAGACAGAGAGAGGAGACAGAAAGTCTGTGGCAACTGACATTTAGAAAAGCAATGGTGGGCTTTTTTAAAAATGTCCTACCTATGTAGATTGGGGCAAAAAGTCACAAGTTACTTTGATATCTGCTCAAAGTGAAAATAGTCTTGTTGGGGTCAGCAGGTGGTGTGGTGGTTAAGGCTCCAGACACCCATGTGGTCAACTGTGGTTTGAGTCCTGGACCCTGTGACTTGAAAAATCACACCAGGCACATGTGTATGAGCCCAAAATCCCAAGAGGACTATGGAGGAGAAGGTATTGTGGCATGTTCATACCTGCTGGGAGTTGATTTCTCACTTCTTTCCCTGTTTCTCTCTGGCAAGCACACACATCTTATGGCAAAAAACATTTTAAAAAGAAAAAAAAAGTCTTGTTTACTTAATCCATAATCTTGAATCTTGGTCACATCTGGGGGGCAAAAATGAATGGGTCTAATTTGCTAACCTTGGTTCTTCATTTTTCTTCTTCTTCATCGTCTTCTAACAATCAGCTATACTCTGCTCGAGCATCTTTTTCCCTCTTCCTTCAGTCTTAGCTCAAACCTTTTATTTATAATATGTATAAATAACTGTGTAGTTTGGCCTACGATAAAGGTTTGTTAGCTGAAGCTGGTTAAAATATTGCCTCTCCTACTATTGCTGTATTAATTATGATCTAGATTTTGAAATTACTCGCTGAATTCCAGATGTCATTCATTTGATGAGATTTGGGAAAGGGTGCAGATACCTCCCAGGGTCACTAAAATCACACACGCATCTTTAGTTGATGCTGCCTGGCATTTGAGAATCTTCATCCCTGGATCATAGTGTTTTAGGTTACAAAAATTACTGTTCAGGATACTTGTTCCTGTCCAGGATTTCTGAAAACTTAGGTTCTACAGATATTTCAATAATCATCTCATATTCATCCAAGATAAGACTGAATCGTTTAACAAAATGTAGTAAAAATACCGTCTTTTTACTTGGAAATGGAATATGAACTCAGTGTGGTAACACTCATTATCACCAACATCTGAAGAGCTGATAGCTGTATGTCTTGGAACAGTTACAAGTAGGAGAACAATTAATTATTACTTGATTAATGTAGTACCATGGGTATGAAAATATTCTCAAATGCAAGGTCTTGATTAAAAAAAATATAACAACATGGATACTTGGTAATAAAAACTAGGAATCCCTAATCCAATTCAAAACTTTACCCAAATGAAATAACAATGACGATAATATTTAATAAGTACCTGTTATGTTCCAGACATTGAACTGAAGTCAATTAAATCTGAACCATCCTTCCTAGTCCCGTCCCCCCCAATCTTAGAGAATAGAATTATTTTTTTCTCACTTTACAGATGACAAAGACATTATTAAGAATTAGAAACTTTAAACCTCTTGGACAGCTAATATTTGGCATGAAGAAGTTATGTGACTTGCAGATGCCACAGTGATCTAAATTATCCTAATTTTTCAACCAATTGACATATATCCCTCTTATTTTCTGCCTTTTTTCCCACTTTGTTTTAGTCCAGTCTTGTTAAAGAGAGATAAGAATATTAGTCACATCTTTCTCTCATACATGGTGCCCATGGTCCAATTGCTAACTAAAAACCCCATGATGGAAGTACTTTTTATTCTTTGTAACTAAACACAGAAGGATCTATCTCTACAGAAATGGTACCCTGGCACCTTTCATCACCTCATCTGAAACACTGCCTCTGTCTCTGCCTTCTTGGTAGAAGGCACCAAGGGACAGATATGTATAATTACTTGTCTGGTGGAGTTTTAAATTATGTGAATAACTGTCTATCTACAAAAAGAGTGTAGCCATTCATTCTTTCCTCAGTCAGTGTACGATAAGAACTTTGGGAAGTAAAAAGAAATTTGAGATGGTTTAAAATGAATGACTTAGAGATCAAATGATTTATGTTCCCTATCTGATTTGTCCTGAGAAAATGACTAATTTCTCAAGCCTGCAAACAAAGAAAATGAAATAAGCAACAAATTTTAAAGATGAAGCTAGAAACACTCCAGAATCAAAAAGAATATGTTCAATCTGAGCCAACTGTCACATCCTTAACCCTTCCATCTGTTAGCGCACATTCGAAAAAGGAGAATAAAAACTAAACTACATCTAGCCTGTTAGCTGGGTAAATTGACTTGCATGTATTTGTGAGCTGGTAAGACATGCTTGCCTCCCTCTGTGCAGAAGCATTGAGGCTGGCAATTAACCCTGTTTCCTTTAGCAATATAATTTATTTGCTGGGACCTCACTCAAAGCCGTATCAGACCGAGAACCATGCTAATAACCTGTGCTTGGTGAGCACTGGGCTAATGTGGAAATTCAAAAGACAGCGGTTAGGAATGAATAAAATTTTTCTCAAACATACCTTTTTGTATAGGGGTCTTCAAAAAGTCTATGGAAAATGCATATTATGAAAAAAAAAAAACTATGAATAGATTTCAATTTTTTGCACCAAAACAAACTTGTATATTTTTTTCACAAAGTTTTTGAAAAAATACATACACACATAATATATATACATAATATATTATAGTGGTTAGAGTAAGTTTTATACTATATATATATGTGTGTGTGTATATACAAATATCCCTCCTCCCTGGCTTTACTGAAATACAAGCAAGAAATATTTTTGTATGAGAAACAAAAAGATATGAGAAAGCAGAAACTTAGACATAATAGACCAGATGTGAAATATCAAAGTTTTGTGATTCATTTTCTTTTCTTTTTTGGGGGGGGTTAAAGAGAAACACCTGCATATTTTCTAAAGATGTACACATGTTGGAATATTCACTTTGTAAGCTGAATAATGTGATTGTATAAAAGAACAAGAAACTAAAAACAATAAATAAAATAAAATAAAATTTTGTGTTAATAATTAAAAAAAAAAAAGATGTAAGTCCAGGTTTGAGGTAGGGCATTATTAAGTGTTTTCTCAAAGACACCTCGTTTTTCTCCTCTTACAGCTGCCACTTTATGGATAACAACCCCCGGCATGAGTTTACACTGAAATGCATTGTATTTGTAGTGGCTGCTACCAAAGAGGGCACTGAGGGCCCGAGGGAATACAGGTAGACGCTGCTATATCCAGCTCCTGCTGGTGATCGTCATTGATTCATATCCTACCTCTGCCTCCTAGTTCTGATTTGGGATGGGAAGGTGCGTGGAGGAGACAAGGTAGTAAGAATCATTGCCACCTGGAGGGGATCAGCAGTTAGCGTAATGGTTATGTCGCTGCAGGACTCCCACGTAGTAGACTGCGGTTCGTGTCCTGGACCCAGTGGCTTAAAATGCCGGCGCGTGTGCATGCGTGCCCAAGATCCCGAGAGGAGAATGGAGGAGAAGGGATTGTGGCGTGGCCATCCCACCTGGGGGGTAATTTCTCACTTTCTGTCTCTCTGTCTCTCTCTGTCTGGCGAGCGCACGCGCCCTGTAGCAAAAACCTCTCCAAAAAAAAATAGAATCATTGCCATCTGGACTGGTTCATTTACCTTATATCCAAGAGTGTTCTCAAAATTTCTCTAGCCTACAGTCTTTTAACAAGATCTAGGATGTTGAGAAGTCTTAAGTGGGGCCTGACCTTGGCCCAGTAGCAGTATAACGCTGCAAGGCTGTACCCCTCGGGGGAAAGTCTTAGAGCCTCCCCGCACATGCTGATGTGCACATGTGCCTGTGATCAGGGCTAGCAGACCTTGGCAGAAGATTATGGCATGAAGACCCTATTGGGGGTGCTCCTTCTCTCTCACTGAAGAAATAAACTTAAAAAAAAGTCACCTTTTCTAAAATTTATTTTTTATTTTTTTATACATTCAATCTCATTATTTAGCTTACAAAGTGAACATTTCAACATGTGAACATTTCTCCCCAATCTAGTTGATCAAAATATCTCCAACAGATAACACCA